ATAAGCAGAGTAGAGTTCACTTAAAAATAAACGAAAATGGAGTTAGCAACAGTCGTCATGAAGGCAGAGATTTAATAGAGGAATTAAACTTCTTCAAACTGCAGAAGCAATGGCAATTCACATATTGAACCCTGAACTCTGCATACAAAAGAAGTTTGTTCAGTCACTAAATCTACAATGGTCCTGATCTATCTTAACACCGAATAAGTAATTTTGTCTTACCTCTTTCTTCTTTGTTTGTCTCTTTCTTAATTGCACTTCTACTGTCTTGGTAACAACTCTTTTATTTTATTTTTTATTCTGATGACTTAATTTTGTTCGTTTGCCTGTTCTTTAACTGCTTATAATTCTTGTATTCATTTAGAACTCTTACGTAATTTCGTATTATCTACTTTGTTCCTATGTGCATTCTGAGTAAAACTCACTCATCAAATTATTCATATTATTACATAACTTCTTTTAACTACTGTTTGTGACAACTCATCACCTTTGTTACTACCCTAATTTCACTAACACCTAATTTTCTTGACTGGTTTTGTATTACGTAACTCCAATTACCAATCTTCACCTGTTTAGTTTAAATAACTATAACCAATTGTATTTTTGTTTGATAAACTTGTTGTACAACATACATACAAAATAAGCTATGCATATTTGCGATTGTCCAGCTAAGAAAAAGAATTCGACGAAAAGAGACACTTCGCTGACCTTTGAACTCATGATTTCACCCCAACCATACCTAAAAGTGATTAACTAAAATAACCTCTTGACTGATAAAAAATTTCTGTGTAAAAAACTGTATATTATTGTAGAGCCGATGACGAGGAACAAATGTAAAAGGAACATATTTCTTCGCTCAATCTGTTGTTTTACTAAACACATGAGAAGGACACAAGACAATGCTCCAACTAGGGAAATACTCATTCAAAGCATTCATCTGCGCAGTTGCACAGTCGACAGTGAATGCTACCGTTTCCGATGTATCACTCATAAATCTCACAAATGCTTGCAAGATCTCCTCGACATCTGAAAATATTTCCCTCCTAGTAAGAGCAAGTAAAAAAGTCCTTCGTATTCTAAATCCAACAGTGACAAAAAACTGATATAAAAATAATAATATGCTTTATTCCAAAAACAGTACTAGTGGTACAGTGTGGAATTTTCAGCACATATCTGCAATATTTGCATCCAATTTTATCCAACACTTGAAAGCAGTATTTCAAAGAAAAATAAATATAAAGACAACAACAGCAAAAGAAGACAGGAAAAACACAAAAATAATTTTTTTAAATGCGAAATAATACCAAGAAGTAGAAAGGAAAATAAACAACATAAAATAATATCTCAGTATTGGGTAGTGGAAGCTATGATATGATTATGCATGGTGACAGTAAACCTGTAGTCACACAAGAAGTTATGAACTGATATTGAAGAATGTTTATCGCCAAGATGATCAGTTAATTTGGTTGAAACAACTCTAAACACTCATAAAATAACATTTCAGGGTTGTTGTTTTGTTTTTTATTTCAAATGGATGGGAAAGTTCCAGAACAATTTCTGGTTAGGGGTTAAATTAATAAAAATTACAATTAGGAATTAGAATGCCATAGTAAACAAGGGGGTGGAGTTTGAGTTTTACCCATCCCCCTGTTTATTATGGCATTCTAATTCCTAATTGTTTTTTATTGTCAGGTCTAATGTATTGTTTGTAGTGGTAGTGTGAGTAATCCTGCATAATACAAAATTTTGAGATGATAGTAATGGCGTTCACAACCAATGATTGTCAGTTAATATTGCCGAAAACAAATACTAAACGAATAATTACATGATGGTTAATGACAGGACAATTTGGTAATACTCAAAGTGCCAATATAGTCGGAACCAGTAGATACACAAAAGAAGGAATACAGTAAAGTACAGAAAAGTAAGACAATGTTAATAATTCAGGTAGCTAAGTATGTTTAAGAAGGAGTTCACCATAGAATACAAAATAAGAGAGAAATAAAAGAGCCTAAAATTATGTTATTAACAACAAAGCAAGTCATAGGTTTCACGCTTAACATTGCCTGTCACTTAGAACACGGGCCAAGTACGGTATCGTTGAGTTCCTGTACTTGATTGTACAAGCATATATTATTTTGTACTGATTTGTGGTTCTACCTGAAGAGATACAAGGAGTGAGTTGTGAATAGAGCAGGTGTTGGGGGTCGGAGAGTATGGTTTTAGACCATTTTTCGCATGTTTTCAGATGCCTTTCAACTGATGTACTGACGAGCTGACTGAGTTTTACACCATTAGTCCTACTAACTACCTTCAACATCCTTCTTAGGATGGTATAGCTTCTTTTGATTAGCCCAGTAAAGACTAATGGGGAGTACAGTAAAGTAGAATGGGTAAGATACGAGAGTTGACAAATCGTGAATGTAGAGGTTGGGTGATTCCAGATTGTCTAAGTTTCTTAATGTAGTAGGTTAGACGGAACACATTCTTAGAAATCGTTAGGATATGAGATGACCAAGTAAGGTCGGAAGATAGAACTAGACCGAGGTATTTTGCATTAGACTTAGTTTCAATTTTTAACCCCTCAATGATACTGTTTGAATACCTAGGGCTATTTGCGCATATGCCAGTTTACGCCGTCTCTGGCGGGGATGTGACATCCGACTATCGACCGAAGGACGTGTGTACTGCTCATCAGGCCGCTCCGTCCTCCTTTATGGCTAGCTGTGAGACCTGTCCATTGAGAGCGGAAGACATGAAAAGACTAGCTGTTTTTGATCATAGGTGTCTGCGTTCTATCTCCTGCGTGAAGTGGTATGATAAGGTGAGTATTATTCAGGTTAGGCGTCGAGTGCTAGGTAAGGAGGAGAAATCTGTTGACGAGACTGTGAAATTACATCGACTGAGATGGTTGGGACGTGTGTTACGTATGCTTAGTGATCGCCTTCCTTGACCGACGGGCAATGTTAGCTGACATAGGGTCAGGCTGGAAAAGAGCTAGCGGCGGTCAAACGAAAACATGGAACCAGTCAATGAATTCTACAACAGTTAGGAAGGTGTAGACTTCCTTGTTGGGGTCCTCGGGACGGTAAAAACCAATGGTTGGAAACAATTGGCGACATGGCTCAAAATCGTTCTCAATGGCGCAGATGCATCCACTCCTTATGACTTATGATTTCCAATGAAACTGTTTTGTTCGCCGTTATTACTATTCCTTTGTCTCACACCTCTGTTTACTGTCTCTCTTTTATGCATTTCTCCTACTTTCTTCTCTTGCTATGTGTGCTACATGGAGTGTGGCGACTTGAACAGCCGCACATATGTGCAAAGTTCTATGTTGAAAACAGACAGACAGACAATTTAAAATAACTAGGCATCAAAATTATTGTTGAACTCTTGATTTTATTTTTAGCTCCACGCACTTCATGTGGGGTGTCGTTAACATAAGGAAATGTCGTATATCCGAGCAGAATGCCTACAATTGTATAATTGCAGGTCTTTTTATTTGAATTGCAAGAGAAATTTTACGTATCTCTGATGTTGGTGTCGTTCCGAAAGTTACTTCAATAAATGTAGTTGCATCGAGCAGCGTTTCTGGAGGAAGAAACTATTACATCGTTAAATATCACAGTCGTCACTGCACACCAAACAATTTTCACATAGGAATATTAGGATAATTAATAGCAGACTATCGGTGTCATTGATATGAGTCAATTGAGAAAAGGTGAGAACGATAATGAGTAAATAAAATCTGTGAATGTAAGCTGGTAGAATCTACCAACCTAATAACTCGTTTAGCATGCCAATAAGCTCATATTGATGACGATTTTACAGACTTCTTCAAGCATCGACCTGGTTTTCTATCATGGTGGATGCATGAAGTTCACGTGCCACCTCCCACAATATAATTGGTGACAGAGATGCACTTGAAGGAGAGCAGGACAAAACACAGACAGGCTGCATCTCTATAGTCTTTAAACAATACTAGACAACACTCTTGGCACCGGCCTACGGTGTGTCATAAGAAAACGACATAGGTTCTAATGACACTAACCAAAAGGTTGCATTTCTATCCCTAAGCAAAGCGGATACGATTAAATTGATGTGATCAAATGATCTTTATCTAAGACTTCTGAAGGAACTGGTACCAAACATAACCAGTTCACTGACCACTATTCCAGGTCATCCCTGTCGCAAGGAAAGATGCCGCCTGACTGGATGAGTGGAATACTAATTCCTACATAAAAGAACGAATCTAGACACTTTCCTAGCCGTTCTAACACCTGAAGTTGGCTACCGGAAGGAACAATCGAGCAATATGTCATGGCTTTTCTGGAGAAGAACTTATTAGTCAACGCCTATCACGGTTTTCGAGGAGGGCCTTCTCGTCTGACAAAGCTGAGCCAAATCCAACGATAGCTGGAAACTCTTCGAAGTCGTGTTCACAGGTCTCAGTGAAGCATTTGACAAGGTGCCTGGTACTCAGTCACTTATGAAACCTGATAGCTTTTCTATTACAAACAGCCAGTTACCTTGGATCAGAGAGTTCTGGGTCAGTAGGAGATGAGTAGAAAGGATCGACTGTCTTCCTGGATGACGGTGCAACGTGGTGTACCACAAGAGACTGTAACTCGCTCTCTGTCAGCTACCCCAAACTGTAGTCTCGCGTAAATCTCCAATGATTCTCCACGCAAATGATCTAAAAATTCGGAGAGAGCTTAAAGATGACAACCACGAGACCAAAACGAAATGTTGGCCTTAATATTGAGGGCCTTCCACCAACGCAGTGATGTACGCTAATATGAGCACCATGTACGCAAATGTGAGTGGATACGACACACAGACAGACACCTCTCGTTTCACTGCCGAAACACATAGGTTATCAGTGTCAGTAAATTATGACTTCACAAGGATGACCTTATATCCCTACAGGTAATATTTCGGGCACTTACAAGTGTTAGAATGAGTTCACAAATCGTCCACATATTTGGACCATACCATAGGCAGAAAAGAAGAATAATGACCAGATTTAAACGCTTTGGAAATGTTTATCGATCTGATCCAACTTCCACCAAGTCGGAACATCTCTTCAAAATGAAATGTACAAACAAACGAGTGGTTTGGCGATGGGACCACCAATATCCCCAATAGTAGCAGACATAGCTATCTATATTCAGGAACATGAAACTCTTAGAACCTTTAATCCTGCTCCGAGGTAGATTATGGTGGAGACGTGTAGATGACACATTCGCTGTGTTGAAATCTGAACATATCCCTCGCTGCTTCACATATACAAAGTCAATAGTAGATGGAATCCAATTCACTTCTGAGTTAGAAAACGAACAAGTTGAACTGGCCCTGCTAGACTGTAGAATAAAACGAAAGCAAGATGCTGGGTTAGATACTAGCATTTATAGTAAAAACCGATTAACTGTAATAAATACTTAGACTTAAAATTGATAAAGGAAGATCGGTTTAATTAAATGCGCCAGAAGCCTAAACAGTAAGGTAGATTTATATAATGAAGTCAAACATATCAAGAAAAAATTACTAGTGAATAACCACCTACTAAAATTTATTCATAAGTGTATGAAGAACCATAAGAAGAAAAAAGATTAGTATTGAAAATCAGAAAAGATAATATAAAATTCAAAGCTTCTATAGTACTACCGTATAAAAAAGAGGCCTCAATGAGGCTGGAATTAGGGTGGCATTTAAACCAACCAACCAACCAACTGTAGCAGAGATATACTTTGTCTGTCGGCTTAAGAACCCGATAGATCCAGTGAAGAAAAATAGCATAATTTACCATATACCATCTAATGTCTGTGAGTGAGGTCAATTGCATAGGACAGTCGAACTAGTAGATTGGGGTCAATTTTACATTATCAAAACATAAAAATCTAGCTAGACGTAGGACGACTGACACCGCAAAGTAAATTAAATAACCTAGAAAGTGGCTGAGCCATTGCATTCACTTGCATATAATAAATAACAAAATAGGTTGGGTGGGACAGGGTGAGAGTATTAAAAAGTAGTATTTTTAGGTGAAGTGAGAGAGAGAGAGAGGTTTATCACTGAAACTTTGTTCATCGATTCAGCACTAAACACGTGCACTCGAAATGAAGCAACGCCTACACTGGAGATATAGAAAGTGGCAACAAACAACAACAAGAGGGAGAAAGAAAAAGTAAGTATTTAAGAAAAGTTGTGACTACATTGATATCATGAACAGCAATCATTTATGCTCGAGACCTTGTCATCTAGTTAGTGATACTGCCATCATCACTGTGTGATATTCAAAATACACTTATCTAATGTCGAATTACATTCTCCGATCACAGTGCCCATGCTCCATACTTACATGAGGAGAGATTCACTTTAGTTTAGTCCCGAGAAAAATTAACAAACGTGCTACACCATATCACGCTTATGTACACTACTTGTGAGACTCACTATAACCCAACAAACATGGTGCGACTCAACAGTCTGAAAGGTTTAAACTGAATCCGATGATGACAATTTACATTTGGGCACCTTAAATCAAATTATCCAAACATGTGTAGGTGAAAAGTAAATAGTCATTCAAAATTCAAATGGACATAGAGATGAAGAACTGACACGAGGTGGATCGATAGCGCGCAAAGAGGTGAATGAATCACATGTGCTCGACACTCAAGTCAACTTTCCGCAGTGAACTCTTCGTTTATATAAAGCCTCTTCATATAGTCTGCCTGTACAGCACTATTGTTTATTTCATTACAATACTGAACATTCATTCCAGATCAAAACAAAATGATGCTGTTCACCTAACCACTCAAATATTGAGAAAGGTTTAAAATGGATGCTTACAATTGTTTTTTGAGAAGTGTATCGATGCACTCCCACATTCAAAACGCATATACTCCGTGACATATGAAAAATATTCATGTGTTGGTTTGCAGCAGGGATTTGATTTGTTACAGGATTTTCATCACGAACTGACACTGGTCGATGAACACCACTGGAAAACCCAGACTCGAACCCGATAACCTTACAGATATAAGGTGAGTTGCTCGTAGACAATTAAGCCACCAGGACCAACGCTTGAATATTAATCTGACGCCTAATTACGCGGGCAGTTGGTTAACTGAGTTTTAGAGGAAAGTCGTGACCAGTAGTGGGATGGATACAGCATGTCGCGTATGAGGACAAATATTCGGCACCAGTGACATTGGCTAGAGCCAGTCACGCTATATCGTGCGTGAATTGGCAGAAGTTGGAACTCGTTGGTTGCCTCCCATAGTTTCTTTACACACACACACACACAAGTTCCCTCCCCCGGTTACAATCTGTTCACCATCATCATCAAAGTGAGTGAAGTATTGCAAAAACTGCAGCACTGCGTACTACAGAATTGTTTAGTAACTACCGCCAGTCACCAGAGAGATGAAGAACACACGTTTGGTAAAAAAAACAACCGGATTGTTGATTATACACATCATTTTAGAGTTTATCATAAACTAAAAAGAAAAAATAGAAAAAATCTGTTCTACAAATTCACTGCTTGAAAAATGTTACGGCGTACGAACAATGAAAAAACAGCATAGAAACAACTTCTGATGATGATTGGTTTTGATTTCGATCGAAATTGGCCGCCAGTCTGTGTCGTCGACCTTTCGCTCAATCAACCAATTCGACACGAATCAAAGTAGAAATTGGAATTGACAAGTTGAGTTGCAGACGTGTAATTACCTGATAGTATCACTTCATACAATGTACGCAATTCTGACTCGACAGCATCTGAATCCGGATCATGTCGAGGATATTTTGTTTCATTCAATAGTTTGCCCATAAGATAATGTAACCAATAGAGATTAGACATTGGATTGAAAGCGCGCCAATCATCTCTGCAAGAAAGAAAATTAAAAAAACATTTAGGAGATTACAGGATTTCATGATGAGCTGACGACATCAGTTAGAGAATACCAGTGGAAAACCAGATGGGAGTACTGCAAGACAGCCATTTAGTCTCTCTAGTGCTTGGGACTCTTCATCAGTACGCACCCACCAACAGGATCCTAACACAAGACCACCTTCCGGTTATACACGGCAAGCGAGCTCGTAGACCATTCCAGCCACTGAAACCGGACTCCTCAATGGCCAACCAAAGAATTCCCACTTCTGCCAATTCATGCACGATATAACGCGACTGGCTCTAGCCAATGTCACTGGTGCCAAGTATTTATCCTCGCGCGCGACCTGCTGTACCCATCCCACTACTGGTCACGAATTCCCAGTAGATTATTTTCACTAAGATATTTGGCAAAATCCACAAGTGAGTGCATTTCCCTTGGAACAAAAGTTGTTAACAAAAAAGTGTTAATCACGACAGATAGACACCTGACAGTTTACTAATCAGTATGATCTAACTTATCTCTCGCGATTATTGTTTAATTTATTGTAAACACCCAACCTATATGGATTAATGTTGTATTCTGCCTTTTATATGTATGTAAACTAGTTTGTTAGTCATTTCGTTCCATACGTCATTACTGTTCGGTACGTTTTTTTACAACTTTCTTTCAATGACGGTTGCCCTTGTATTATTTACTTTATATTTTAGAAACCTATAAGGTTCACGTTAAGCTGAGTTTTAACTATAGCAAGCCCCAGACTCTGTAGCGTCAATATTGACAGTGAGGACAAAATCTGTAGGCAAAATTAACCCAAAAACAGATGTCGCGAATTGACAGAGGTTAGAATAAATGGGCTGGCCATTGAGGAGTCGGGTTCCAGTAGTTGGAATGGCCTACAAGGTCCTATGTATTATTATTATTGTTTCCTTTAATTCCTAGAGAAACATAGGGCTTCAGCCGTGCGTTCGGTTCTCTGCTAGAGTCCTCACCTGGCTCCAAGTATGCCAACACGCTTTCATCTCCTCTTCACATGACCTCCTCCAAGTCACCCTTGCACTGACGACCAACTCGCCGCTTCCCTTTCGGGTTCCACTCGAGCAATGGCTTGTCTAGTGATGTCACTTGATGGTTTCCCCAGAGTATGGTCAATCCAATCCACCTCCATTTCTTCCTGCCTATTTGTTTCACAATCGGTTCCTGGTTGGTTCGCTCCCAGAGATCTTTGTTGCTGATCTTTTCTGGTCGGCCATCTGATCTTGAGCATTGAGCGAAGACAACTATTAATGAAGGCCTGTAGTTTGTTTGAGATGCTCTTTATGACGCACCAAGTCTCTGATCCGTAAAGTAGCACTGACTTCCCATTTGAGTTGAAAATCCGGATCTTATTTTTGATGCTGAGTGCTGTTGACCTCCAACACAGACTTGAAAGTAGTGAAAGCTTGTCTTGCTTTTCCGATTCTTGCTTTGATATCCTCGTCTGTCTGCCTGTAGTTGAAACGATGCTTCCCAGGTAGGTAAAAGAGGTTGTTTCTTTCAGGTTTCTCCCATTTATGCTGATTGTTGTCTGTTGTTGTTGCTGTTGGTGGTGTTGCCCAGGAATCTTCATCACCTCTGTTTTCTTTATGTTCACCTGAAGTCCTTCCTATCTTTGATGCTTCTTCTATCTCAAACTTGTTGCTTTTCACTTGCATAGCTGCCAGTTTGTGGGAAATCAGACATATGTCATCGGTGAAGTCCAGATCCTCCAAGTTTTTTGTGAGTTCATTTTATGCCTGTTTCCTCATTCCCCGCTTTTTGTCGCATTATCCAATCTACTGCAATCAGGAAAATCATTGGCGATAGTAGGCAGCCAGCCAGCTTGTCTTACTCCTGTCCTCACTTCGAAGGATTCCGTAAGTTTCCCGTTGTGGATTACTTGGCATGCAGCATTGTCGTACAGCTGTTGGATGAGATGTATAATTGTCGGTGGCACCCCATAGTAGCGAAGTAGTTGCCAAATCACCTCTTGATCTACGTTGTCCAAAGCCTTTTCAAAGTCGATGAATTTGAGATATAGAGGTCACTGCCATTCCAAGCTTTGTTCAATGATGATCCGTAATGTGGTGATCTGATCAATGCATGACTTGTTTTCTCCTGAATCCAGCTTGTTCCGGTTGAAGTTTTTCGTCCAGGGCTTGTTTGATTCTCTCCAGGATGATGAGGCTTAGTATTTTGCTTGGGATAGACAGGAGCATAATTCCGCGCCAGTTCCTACATTGACTTAAGTTTCCTTTCTTTGGTAGTTTGAATAAGTATCCTTTCTTCCAATCCTCGGGTACTTTGTCTTCTTTCCACACCTTCTCCAGTAGTGGTGTCATCAAGTCCGCTGTTGTCTCTGGGTCCATTTTCAATGCTTCTGCGGGGATTCCATCTGGTCCTGTTGCTTTTCCAGCTTTTAGCATCTTGATTGCCTTCAGGACTTCTGATTTCATCGGGGGGTTGGTGTTAACTGATCTTTTGGCGCAAGGAGATTTATAGTGCTGAAGTTTCTGTAGCAGCTTTGTTTACAGGGTGGGGTTGCTAGCCTCACGCCTGAGAAGGATTGTTACATTAAAAAATAAAATTGATGATAATGATATAGAAATGAAGTCTGAGTTTAATTATCTTGGACTAATTTTTTCTTCTGACCTGACCTGGTGTTCCCATGTCATAGCGATTTCAAAAAAATATTTCATCTGACTTTTCACATTGAAAAGTTAAGGTATTCGGGCATAACTCAACCCCTTCTCCTCTTACAGCTTGTCAACTCATGCATCTTACCTATTTTCCTTTATACTTCACCCTTATTCCTTCATGGGTTGCTTAAAAAAGATTATATCATACTTCGTAGAACTCTGAAAACTGTTAGCAGCGCGAGTGGTGGTATCCCATTGGACTATATCGTTGATATCGTCATGAATGATAGGCAATTGATTCCATGCAATAAATTTACTAAAAGGATTTTTTTCACGTTGGGAGCATCCACTTTACTTGCAGCTTTCGTCTTGCATCTCCTACTCAAGTAGAACAATAAGTCATTTCATCAAAAGACTTGACGCTTGCACGTCTAAGTATGGAAATTCCACGATACCATATTCGGTGACACATATTTTATGTGGTGAAAATAGTGTCAGGCAAGAAGTAACTAACTAACTAACCTTCTTTCCACTAGTAGTAAATAAACAATTTTCTCCATCCTTATTCCATCAAGGTTTACCGTTATTCTTCTTCTTCTTATATTGATGGTCCTCTCATTTTGTTTTGTTTATTTTTTCATAAGTGTAAACATCATTTGAGCTCTGTAATAACTGTTATCGTTTTGTTTTTCCTCTCACCGTGCTACGTCAAGAGAAGATTGGGTTCAATGCTCTATAGCATGCTAAAATTTTCATACTGTATCGACATTATTGTTTGAAACCAACCCACCATTATGATTACTATTATTATTATTATTTTCAAAGTTGTTATTCTCATTTTACATTTTGCACGTTTTTGATATCATTCCAGCTGTAAATGTGGAAACGCTCCTGTAGTTAATTCTATTTATATTTTGATTAAATTAGAGGCAATACTGTGACAAATGCTGTATTATAAATACTGTTTTTAGAATAAAGCAGATTATTATTATTATTATTATTACTAGATAAAACAGAACAGTTGTATGACTGAAATGCTCACCGATTATTTTCACGCATAATACGATAGACGTCATACTGATAATCACCTTCACATTCGAAAATTTCAGGGGAATCGGACATATCAACGTAAACTACATTACCCTCTAAAAACACAAAAGAAAACATGATAACAATAATAAAAACACGGTGCAGTTAACTGCTAAGATCAAAGCATTAAATGCACAGCTTTTGTCTGAAGTGCACGAAACGTTTGCCAAGAAATGAAGTATACCTAGAGTCTCGAAAAAAGATCAGCTATAGCAATGTATAGCCTGACATGGAATCATGCTCATGTCCACGCCAAGTAAAATATTAAAAAAAAAATGCACTGGATGCAGAACTCCGACTGCCGGAAAACGCCGTATTAAGGAAAGGCAAATCATATGTTGATCAAACTGCGAATCTACGTATCATCATCAAACAACGCATATAGTGGCAGTTAGACCTCCACCTTAACTTCATCGACTTCGAAAATGACTTCAACACCTCTGAGCGCGGAGTAATTTGGAAACTGCTTTAACGCTATGACACGCAGTGCCTAAATCTCTATCAACCTTATTCAACAGCAGGTGATCCACAACGAAAAACTCCGTGAAGCCTAATTTCGAAGTGAATGTGGGAGTAAGAGACAAGGTTGCCTATTATCATCAGTGGTATTCCTAATTGTGGTGAGACTGGATTATGCGTCAGACTGTATGTGGGGAGTGAGAAGACAGGAATACGCCAGACCACAAATAAGAAGACTCTAGAAGATGTGGATTTCGCGCATGCATGACTTATTTTTAATGCCACACAAACTCGAAGACTTTCAGGCGAAACCAAAAAACTGGCTGAAGAGGCTGGCAGCGAAGACAGGACTCCTGGAGAGCATTGAGAAGACGAAGGTGATGAAGATATCCAACGAACAGCAACAGCGATGACAACAAACACCATCAACGGGAGAGATTTAACAGAGATTACCTCCTTCACTTATATAGGAAGCATTGTTTCAGCTACAGGCGGAACGGATGAAGATGTCGAAGGCAGAATTGGAAAGGCAAGATAGGCCTTCATCAACCTGAAACCAGTTTGGAAATATTTTGTATTCAGCAAGAAAAAAAAACAAGATTTCGGATTATAAACACAAATGTGACGTGAGTCACATCTACATGGGTCATAAACTTACCACACCCATCACAAAAAGAATTTCCAAGAGGCTACTGCCTTCCTTGTATAGTGAAGATAGCATGGCCGGTCAGAAAGAATTAGCAAAAAAACTATGGGAACAAACCAACCAAGAACCTATCGTTCAACAAATATGTAGAAGAAAATGGAAATGGATAAGGCGCACGCTGAGGAAGACCGTCGAATGACACTGTGCGTGGTATCTGGAATGGGAGGTGAAGAGTCGGTCGTCACTATGAAGGTGACATGGAGGAAATAGTGAGACCAGGAGAAGAGAGATTACGGGCAACCATGGGCCCAGCTGAAGAGGACAAAGGAGAATAAAACAAAGTGGAGATGTGGTGTTGAAGCTCTATTTGCCACTCGGAACCCAAGGGAGCACTAATAATAGCAATGCATGCTATACATGCTATACAGTCGACTTCGACAATGTAGAAATTCTAGGTAGGGGTGAATTGGCGCAGTACCATTCGTCCGCTCGTAAAACGCGTTCGGAAAAACTATCCAGCTTGTCTGGCTGGCAAAGGGAGAACGCAAGTGTACATATTTCAGTAATAGAACATCTGGTGGTGAATTCAGGACATTCAGCTCCATTGGATGTGAAGTCGTCATATACGAAATCCGATCAAACATCTCTCCCAAAGGGAGTAAAATCAAGGCACCTTGCTGGGAATATGTAATGGAGACTCTAGCGACCCTAAAGCTGAAGTCCATGATACTATGTATTCAAAAGAAACGCGTCCGCTCAACTGTTGTCCCTACCACGTCCATCACGCAAAGTCGGTCATTAATAATCATAATCCTATTACGTTTCTTCTCCAATCTTATTGTTATTTTGACGGATTGGTTTTTAAAATCCCAAACTGCGTTGCTACGTTTCTTTTATCCGATCTTTCTGTTTATTACACTTCGCAATTTGATTGATTTCACCTTTGACGAGAAATAGAGATCTGGAACTTTCTCATACATTTACTCTAAAAATACACGAATGTACAGCCTAACTAGTCGATGGTGACTTTCGTCGAAACGGGAAAGTTTTCTTCGCTGCAACCGTCTCCTTTTTAATAATTCCTGTAATCTAATGTGCATATTCCGTGATTTGAAAAAAACACAACAAAAACATACAGTTAACATTTAGTCCTAGGTATAAATAGAAAACTGTGTGATAATAGATTGAAGTGTTTAAGGCTAAGTGAGATGACTTACCATGACACAGGCGAGAGACTGTGAAATCAATGAGTGTCACGTGTATGCCTTCTGTCAATACAGCATAACTTATCCCACTAACACGATAGCGTAATTTCCATTGCTTTGTAGGACGTACTAATACATTTTGCCAATGTAAATCCCTATGTTCAAATTGTACAGCTGATTCAGCCGCTGCGAGGGATATAGCGATTTGTTCAATCACAGACCGTGCTTCACGCCATGTATTGAACTTCATAAAAAATGAAAGGAAAATAGCAGACATGTAGCAGAAATATTCAAAAACATAGAAGACAATAGAAAATTTCAGCAAAGGAATTATTTGATAGTTTCCTCTTCCAGTTCTACAGTTGAGTACATTTATATACACAGATTATTCTAGAATAATCGTGACCAAAAATATTGATGTCGAAATGATAGTGACTTGTTAAGATCACAGTAGCATTACCACAGTTCAAGAAAGATGTTCAAGTTATAATAATAAGCATAATATGAAATAAGTAGAATATTAGATAAAATTAAGATTTCTACAACAAATTAAGGATCATTAAAACCTTGATTGATGGCCAGTGTTTGCCTACATTTCTGAACACATAACAAAAAACCTAAGACTAAGGGCTCACAAGCACTAAAGTGTGAGTGAGTGCCATATTGTGGAAAACCCGAAGGCGTTCAAAAGAATCCGCAGGTAAAAAAACCTGCCTCGTTACGTCTCGCTGAGACAATCGGCATTAAATGATTAAAACCAAATCTACGTACAAAGAAAGAGTGGTAAATCTCTCAGTCTTACTATGATGAAAACATCTACAAATTTTACTACTTTATGGATAATCCCCATCCAGGCATTAATGAAAACAAAACACGTAGTTCAGCGAAGAGTCTCTTTTCAGCGAATTCATTTTTTTAGCTGTACAATCGCAAATATATGTTATTATGTATGTATGTGTACATTAAGTTTGTCAAACAAAAATACAATTGATTATGGTTATTTTAACTAAACAAGTGAAGATTGGTAACTGGAGTTACGTAATACAAAATCAGTCAAGAAAAATAAGTGTTAATGAAATTAGCGTGTTAACAGAGGTGTTGAGTTGTCACAAAGAGTGGAATGATCTCAACAAACACCTGAAACGGTAGCATTCACTGTCGACTGTGCGACTGCACAGATGAATGCTTTGAATGAGGAATTCCCTAGATGCAGCATTGTGTTATGTCCTTTCCATATGTTTAGAAAAACCACAGATTGAGTGAAGAAATATGTTCCTTTTACATTTGTTCCTTGTCATCGGCTCTACAATAATATAGTTTTTTACACCGAAATTTTTTATCAATCAAGTGGTTATTTTAGTTAATCACTTTTAGGTATGGGCGGGGTGAAATCAAGAGTTCAAGCGTCATCAAAACAAATAACTAATAGGTGTTAGTAATAAGAGAGAGGTGAAAATTAATTACGGAATTCTAAATGATTCTAAGGCGTCAGCAACAAGTTATTACATAATCAAGAAATTTGTAAAATAGCAATGATGACTTAGAAAGAATAGGATGACTCAGAGTAGTTACGTAAAATGCAAACAAGTTACGACAACACAATAAGAAGACGTAGTTTATCTGAAACATGTAATTTATTGGCGCAACACATTTCGGACATTCTGATCACACACGTACTTGTCATACACAGTTTTTATACAAGGCAAAAAGGCATGAATAATTACAATACAGGTCAGATTGTGTACAGGTCAAGGTCACACATAATAGGCAGGGAGACGCAAAAGGTGTGGGTAAGAAAGACGCAAAAAGAAAAGCAAGGCAAAGAAGAGGTTGAAAATATTATGAAGTAATTTGGACCTTGGTTCTAAATTGGATTACCAAGGCAGGTTTAAGGTGACAACAAATAACTTTTGCACGCATAGGACAGGTTTAAGTCTCTTCATGGCTAAGGCTTTAATGAATTTAAGTATGTGGCCCAACCTTGTCTTATATATCGGCTTAAAGGCATTGTTGAAATTAACCTTATGACCTGTCTCTAATGTGCTTCGCTATGGATGATATTGGACATCTATTTCCGGGGTTAATTGTGTCTGGCGATTTCATTTGTTGTTACAGCCACTTTGGAATGTCTTCTGTAGCCCTAACCTGCAGAGACCTATGGGTCCTCCCTATGAACCTGTCTCCACACACACATGTAAATTGATACACACAGTGGGATGTGACACTACCGTTCAGATAATGCGAGGGCTTACAGGACAGCATAGTTCTCGCTTTCTTTATGAAGATAAGCTTAGCTGCATAATAAGTTCTATAGATTGCGGCCTTAAGTCTTTGTCTAGTGACCAGACTTTGTTGATCACCTATGAACGGCAAGGATATGTGAACATCCTTTTTGAGAGCTGATTGGATTGGTAGAGATCTATAGTTGATGCTTCCGTAACGCTTAATAAATCTCAGTGGGTAATTGTTATCTAACAATATCTCAGTGAGTTGTTGTCTTTCTTCATCAATTGTATTAGCAGTACATATACGATGAATGCGCTTGAACAAACATTTAACCAACGCCTTTTTATACTGTAGTGAACAGAAACTATGATAATTTAGATACTGGCCCGTCCATGTGGACTTTCTGTTGACAGATCGTTTTAATCCCGACCGAAAGCTGCTACCTTGACGTGGTGGTCGGGCTTGAACACTGCAATGACCCAACAAGCTATACTGGCTGGAACTTATGTTCCTGCAGGTCCTACCATGCCAGAAAGGTTGTTTGGATAGCAGTTAGACTAAAAGCAGTTACCCAATCCAATCCTATGATTTCAAATAAATCACAAAATTTCATGCCGGATCGGCCGGGGCCCGGATTAACAACGACCGCGCTTTCTGCTGCCGTGTCACAGGGCAGAAGTGATAAATACGCTACTGAGACACACCAAATAAAAAAGAACAAACAAAAACAGGCCGTGTGTGACCGGCCTCAAGCAGTTGTCCCCTGGGCTCTGCGGTCACGCAACCAACTTCCACGGTGTGGGCAGCCGGGAAGTAACAATCGCCCTCACAATCCGAAGTGCACGCGAAACCCCTCTAATCCTCGCTCATCTTTGTCTTCATCTTCATCTCTATTATCTTGCCTTCCTTCTACCAATGCAACTCCTCTACTTGATGGCTCTTCACTTCTCCTTCACTCTGTGTGCACTGATAACGATGGAAGCCAAAAAGCCACCACCGATGGTCTCCTAAAACCACGCCACCAATTTTATATAGGAGCATTTAATGTTAGGACACTCTGCCAAGTAGGACAAAAAGCATCTCTAGCCAAGACTCTGGCATCCCGAGCCATTGATGTATGTTGTGTTTCAGAAACACGCATACAAGACCCAAGTGTGGTTATTCACCTAACCCCACCTGGCCAACAGGATGAATCTGCAAAATTCACCTTGAGGGTGTCAGGAGATGCGACGGCTAGCTCACGAGGATTAGCTGGTGTTGGGATAGCTTTAAGTACTAGAGCAGAAAAGACATTACTTGACTGGATCCCGGTAGATAGCCGAATGTGCGCTGTCCGCCTGAACGGATCAGTGAAAAGGAGAAAGGACTGCAGTACCCGCCGATGCCTTTTCGTAATCTCCGCCTACGCCCCCACTGACTGCAGTTCGGATGAAACGAAGGATGAGTTCTACCAAAAGCTGTCTAGTTTGCTGCGAAAGGCTAGACGCTCAGATATAGTCGTTTTAGCTGGTGACTTTAATGCTCAAGTAGGGAAATTGTGTCAATCTGAGAAGAATGTTGGTGGCACATACGGAATTCCGTGCCAGCGAACCGACAACGGTGACCGTCTCCTACAGTTCTGTTCAGATAATCATTTGTATCTTGTAAGCACTAACTTCAAACACAAGGAGAGACACTGTCTGACCTGGCGACCCCCATCATCAAATCAACGCTGGACACAAATAGACCACATAGCAATAAGCTATCGTTGGCGTGGGTCGGTAGGAGATTGTCGCTCCTTCTGGAACACGTGTGTAGATACCGATCACGCACTGGTCCGCGCTCGTGTGTGCTTACGACTGAACGGACGTAGGAAACAGCGAGCGGTAAACCCATCACGTCCCCAGCTCGACCAGGGAACTAAGTCCCTATTTGAGGAAGAACTAGCTAAACACATATCTGAGTTTGACAGCTGCGCTCACCCTGAAGAAGCCTGGAAGAATATTCAGTCAGCCATAGATACAGCTGTAAAAGCTGTGAATAAGGTAATTCCAAAGGTGAGTAAAAACCACTGGATTTCGACTGCCTCATCCGAACTGATAGATGCTAGAAGACTTATTCCGGCGAGCTCCGAATTCAATGAGGAGCGAAAGCTGCACAAGAGGAAACTTACGAAAAGTCTCCGCAAGGACCGTGAACAGTGGTGGTTGACTAAGGCGAAAGAGATGGAAAAAGCATCGGCGATAGGCAACACCAGGCAACTATTCAGGCTTATCAGGGAAACAGGTGGTACAAAACAAATGATAAGCGAAACAATCTCCGAGAAAAATGGCACCATAATTAGCTCCCAGGATAGACGTCTGGAGCGCTGGAAAGAACACTATGAGGAGCAGTTTAATTGGCCCACAGCCACACTTAACCTACCGGACATCCAACACCTCCCTGAATGGGAGATAGACACAGGTCCTCCGTCCTTAACCGAGGTTACTAAAGCTGTCACCAATCTGAAGCTAGGCAAAGCAGCGGGACCTGATTTATTGACTCCAGAGGTATTTAAGTACGGAGGCGACAGTTTACTGTCTGCGTTAACGGAGGTTCTAGGCAGCGTCTGGGAATCAGAGGAAGTCCCATCGGGTTGGTGTAAGTCACTGATCATCCCGATATACAAGAAGGGGGACAAGTCGTCTTGTGATAATCACAGAGGGATTAGCTTGACTAATATAGTATCTAAAATCCTAGGCTCAATAATACTGCGTAGATTAAGTGGTGCTCGGGAGACACAAACACGAGAAAACCAGGCAGGTTTTAGGCCAGGTAGAGGGTGTATTGATCACATCTTCACCCTTCGACAGATTCTAGAACATAGGCATTCCTACCGGCGTCATACAATCATTATATTTCTTGACCTAAAGGCGGAATTCGATTCTGTCGACCGGGAGGTTCTCTGGCGATGCTTGGCTGTAAAGGGAATGCCGAGAAAATACATTGCACTGATTAAGGCACTCTACTCGTACTCATGCAGCCAGGTGAGGGCTTATG